AAAACACTAATTCAGGTATTATTTCTGTATTGGTAACTAATCACTGTCTGAGACTTACCTGCAGATTTGACAACTAAACTATAACTAGTCTATATCTAGAAAGAAGATTTTTTCCATGCAGCCTGTTTGAAAACATGAATTTTCCATCCATCATAGTGTCAAAACTTATTGCTAAATATCTTGCTTTTTGCAACATTGTATTCTGTGAATTTAAATCCAATTTAGCCTGCTATCTATCTCTCATTGTGTCCTTGGCCATTAACTTTGATTGTAATGCTTTTTGCCTTGCATACTTCTACTGATTCCTCCTCAAAATAGGAAGCATAAGCTGTTTGTCTTCTCTTTTAAAGCACTTTTTGCCTATCATACCTGATTCATTACTGAGAGTTTACCTCCAATCATCATTTGATCCAGGATGCAGGCTCCATCATTTAAATTCTGGATCATTCATACAAGTGCTTTCATACTGTCTCCTTAGCAGCCCAGCATGCTTACAAATAGCTCTTGGTAAATATTTAAGAAAAGTGTAATTACTTATAATCCTTTAAAGTCATCATAGCTGTGTTTCCTACCAAAGTCTTGAAAATGCTGCTCCAGGTCAGCTGCCTGGCTGTTACAGTCCAACGGTGTCTCACTGCCTGCACATGTTCCCGTTCACTGTCTCTTGATGCAAATCACATCAAGCAGTCCCAACGAAGCAGCTATGTCCTGTACTTACATGGTATGATAGGATGCTAGCCCATGGCGAGTGCTGCCAGGTAGTGTGTGGGCTGCTTGTGGGTGGTCTAGCACGCTTGGATGTTGAATCTCAATCAGCATCGACCGCAGGCTTCCTCCGCAGAGCTGGCTCCTACCAGGGCTATGGCCTACCCCGCTGCGTACAGGAAAAACTCACTTCTCAGGCTTACTCCTGCTTGCAAAGTCTAGCAATTTCATTGGAGATACTTTCCTGATATTTACTTTCCAGATATGGGAGACCTTCAAAGGGGCCCAGGCTGCAGAAGAATACAGGCTATGCTTCCTTAAGAAACAGGGAGATGTCTGAGACCTGTCTCCCCTGAAACCCAGTACTACACTTAGAGAGAGCTCGATCATCTTCAGTGTCAGCAGGACATCCTTCAGAAAGTCCATTTATAATTTTATGTGTTTCAGACACATCTAGAAATTGAGTTGTGTTAGTGGGGCAGTCCTGATATCACTGTTTGCAAAAAGGACTCCCAGCCTCACCTCCAGGAAACCGTTGTAGAGTCAAAATCCCATAACTATGGGTTTGTAGACCTGAAACAGTAAGGAGATCAGTTCTTAGAGTCCTCATAAAGGTGTAGTTAACACTATTGTTTGATTTCCCCTTCTTGTAGTCTGATCTCTCTCTCCCTTGCATCACAGCTTGGAAGGATCTCTAGAATGTTGGTACACTTCCTATTTCTGCATCAGAAAATTGTAAGCATGTACTCTAAAGATACTGCTAGTGCAAAAAAGTCTCAGTCTCCACCCTCTGGGCCACACAACCTGCTACATGAACTTAGAGTGGATATGGGGACTACATATCTTGGAGAACTCCAGTTGCTGGTAAACATCCTTCACTGAAATAAATTATGGCCTCTGTTGCAAGAAGTTTTATCGGAAAGTTTCACTGTGTAAGTAGATTGGGGAAAATAAAGTCCACAAACCACATATATACATGCCTTATTTTTGGCACTCTTTCCCTTAGCATCCACTCCAAATCCACTTGGATACCGCTGACACTGAGCTAGAGTGACCTTAACTGACCCAGTTCTTAGGTCTGTGTTAATTGGTTGACCGGTCACATCTCTGTAATTCTTAGATTATGACAACACTGAAAGGTACAGGTGCTCTGCATAGCACAGTGTGATCTCATACACGGTAACCCCATAATGAAAACTATAATAAACAAAGATTTTTCATCAGAAAATATTCTTATATCATAAAATCATAGAATGGTTTGGGTTGGAAGGAACCTCAAACTTCATCTAGTTCCAAACCCCATGCCATGGGCAGGGAAACCTCCCACTAGACCAGGTTGCTCAAAATGCCATCCAACCTGGCCTTGAACACTTTCAGGGAAGTGGAAGCTTACCTGGCAGCTTATCTGGGCAATTTGTGCCAGTGACCCACCACCCTCTGAGTAAGCAATTTCTTCTTAATATCTAATCTAGAAATACTCTCAGTCTGAAGCCATTCCCTCTTGTTCTGTCACTAGAGGCTCTTGTAAAAAGTCTCTCTCCATCTTCCTTACAGGCTCCCTTCAGGTACTGGAAGGCTGCAATCGGGTCCCTACCAAAGCCTTCTCTTATCCAGGCCGAAAAAAAACTAATTCTCTCAGCCTTTCTTCATAGGAGAAGATCTCTTTTTTATCCCTCTAATAATCTTGGTGGCCCTCCTCTGGACTCACTCCAACAGGTCAATATCCTTCCTATTCTGGGGAACCTAGAGCTGGACACAGTACTCCAAGTGGGGTCTCATCAGAGCAGAGTAGAGGGGCAGAATCAATTCCCTCAGCCTGCTGGCCTCACTGCTTTTGATGCAACCCAGGATACAATTTACTTTCTGAACTGTGAGTGCACATTGCCAGCTCATGTCCAGCCTCCCATCTACCAGCACCCTCAAGTCCTTCTTGTCAGGGCAGCTCTTGTTCTGTTCATCCCCAGCCTGAATTGATACTGGGGGTTGCCCTGACCCAGGTGCAGGACTTTTCACTTGGTGTTGTTGAACCCCATGGGCTCGCTTCTCAAGCTTGTCCAGGTCCCTCTGGATAGCATCCCATCCTTCAGGTGTGTCACCTGCACCACTCAGCTTGGTGTAATCTGCAAATTTTCTGAGGGTGCACTCAATCCCTAATCCAATGTGACTTTAAATAATCTTTACATTTGATACTAATGACTAATCTAGTGTATTACTACTCCTGTACAGTAGATAAGCATAAAGAAGGGTAGCCCAGGGGCTACAGAAATATTGGAGAGTTTGGAAAACTCAGGATCCAGTTCTGACACTGTCTCATACAACCCTTTTGATTTCAGGCAAGTTATTTACCCTCTTTGTAACTCAGTCTTCAGTCTGGAAACTGATGATACTGATGCTTCTATGCTCCAGAGGAGTCTTATACTGATAAATACAGCCAAAAGTTCTGAGATCTCAGGATGGTATGGGAAACACCATACAGTCAGACTTCATTTATCTGTGTTTAGGTTGTTCAGGCCATGGATGAAGAGCCAGCTTGAGTCTAATATGATATATTAGCTCAGGCACAGTGCCACATGAATGCAGTTATGCTCTTTCTAGGGCCAGCTCTGCTATGGAAAGACTACATCTGCTTTTGTGAGAACCTAGCTGGCTCCATCCCGAGGCAGCTCAGGTATTTCACCACCAGAATTATTGGGGGTGGGGGCTGGGGCTGGGGTTGGGGGGGAGGGAGGGAGGGAGGAGCAGAAACACCCAGCACAACCCTAGCCTGAATCCAGCTGGGTTTATGAGACCTGGCTTTGCGCCAGCTGTGCCAGACCCTCGCTGTCTCCCAGCTTTTGCACCTGCTCCACAGCGCCCAAGGTCCTGTGGGGCTCATTAGGTCAGGCACAACGGGTTCAGCACCGCAAGCAAGCAGTCACGGTCTGTCGATACCTGCAATGCTGGGGAACAGGCTGCGAGTGAGGAGCAGAGAAATAAATGGCACTGTGGGGTCAGCGTAGCGGATGCTACGAGGAATTAACAGACACTCCTGCGTCAAAGATAAATTTACCTAGAACCTCTTGTCTTCTCCCTTGTATGTCTCCCTTATCCGTACTATTGGGGTTCCCATTTTACTAGCTCTACAATACCTTTGCCAAGCAGAGAGGTGGCTAGAAACCATTACAAATCACTTACTGAAGTCCTCACACTTCTAAGCCGTCTTGCCAGGACAATGAAAGTGGTGTTTCAAAGAAGATATTTTGGAACGTGTGAGATCAGATCTTAGGAAGCCAGAAGGAAAGGTGGGGAAAATAAATGAGTCAAGGTCTTGAAACCAGGGTTGAAAGAAATAATTATCAAACACTGCGGGAAGAAAAGCAAAGAAATGGAAAAGAAAAGAATGGAAAAGGAAAAAAAAGAAAGGAGAGAATTGAGGAGGACTAGGTTTCCTAAAGCTGTAAGCAAGGCAGAGAAAGGACAAGGAGGCTTTGCGGGGAGAGCGAGAAGCCCGCCGAGGAAGCGCCTCCAGGCAAAAGCACCAGCGGCTCCCGAGCCGGGCTGGCGTTCGGGCCCGGCGGGGGAGGGGGCGCGGGCCGGGGCGGGCGGCGCTTGTGCCGGGCGGCGGGAGGGCCGGGGCGGCGGCACCACCCCCGGACCGCGGCCCCGCGCATCCCCG